TATTTACCCACATTTCATTGAAAAATTTTAATTTTTCTTTTGATTTTTGGTTTTTGGGTATAGTTATTTACAACTCTATTTGTTTTTAAATTATCTAAGAGGTAATAAACTTTATAAAAAATATAATTATTAATATTAAACATTTTTTTAAATATATACATATACAAAATCTTTTAAGATTTTATTCCATTTCAAGGCTATATTTTTAATCACATTAAGGCTCATTAAGAAGTGTAAATATTTGAATAATGAATAATTAAGATAAATACAAAAACAAAAAGAGGGTCAAACAAAAGTCAGACTCACCTTCGTCTAACTTTTATTTGAACTTCATGATCTTTGCACGTTTCTAAGCTATAATCGTATATTCACATACAAACATATATGTATTTACATGTTTATAAGTATGTACATACATATGTATACACGTGTAATACTCTAGGTTTGAATGAACGTGAAGAATGCGTGAAGTTCAAATAAAAGTTAAACTCGAGGTGAATGGGCTCGACTTTTGTTTTACTTTATATGTGTACATAAATGCTTGCACTAAAAACTAATTTAATTTTCCAATTTAAAAACTTCGCTTTGATTTACCATCGAAGTCGCCGGTATCCGCTACAATTGTAGTTATTTTCTTAAGCTGTTCCAAAGCCGACATCTTTATCTTTTTTGTAACGCGATCGTTTCCCATTACCCGGTGCAACTAAATCTTTAGACTGGATCTGTAAGCATCGATAGCTAAGGTCAAGGTATCGATATGACTTTTACAAATATGTCAGTCTAATCGATGTTCTAGTCTTTCGATATTAGATCTGTGCGTCAAATAAATGCAATGGTATTAATATATGTTTCCATGTTTTGTTTCTTATTGGAATTCTTAAGAGAAAATAAAGAAAAAATATAAATATATATATTCATTTCATAAATATAATAAATATATATTTTTTAGTAAAATATTATTTTGTTTTATGAAATTTAAAATTATTTATTATATGCAATTCATACATATTTCTTTAAATTTGACCATTAAAACTGGTTCAGTGAACTAGCATTTCGATAACTAGCATTTGGTTTGCATGTTTTTTGCCAATAATTTGTATATTTTTCTTATTAGACCAAACGAAATATCTTAGATAGTTAGTTTTAAAGTTTTTCCAAAAATTGTATATCCTTTTAAATTATGGGTTCAACATACATATTCGAAATGCGAATATTATTTTATACATTCAAAAATTATTCGAGATGCACAAAGAAGATTAAAACTAATCTTTCATATTCTCTAATTCCCTGAATGCATGTAAGAACGAAATGTAATCTGTATTGAATATTACCATCTCTTGCAAAGCTGACATTTATATAGTATATACATATACCAGTTGATCATATTTGTAAACAGTTTTTATAATAAATAAATTAGATTTGTTTTTAAATTTTAGTTCCTAAAATTAATGAATTCCATCAGAAGCGATACAAATATGAGAGAGGTAAATAAATTGATTGGATTGTTTTCCAGTTTGAGCAAAAAAATGTGAATGCAGAAATGTAAATTTTAGGATAGCGGTACTTTTTAATGTATACAATAAATTAGATACTTGTATATAAATTTTATTTAAATTTTCGAAATCAGACGTCATTGAATACTTTCCTATGAATGCTTAAGACGGAACTTTAAATTATATTTATATATACATATGTATGTATATATAATTTCTTTACAATTTTAAGTATTTTATATACATATGTACATATACATATGCGTATGCATTTACCCATGGAAGAACGGTATGAAAGAAGTATATAAGCTAGCGATCTCATAGCTTTTATTTAATTCTTTAAAAGTTTAAAATATTTTTTTGAAAGAAAAAGATATTTCTCTTGGCAACACGAAAGAATGTGTACGTTGGCATGTCTCGTCTCGGGCGAGCTGGGTAAATGCCTCAAATGCAATAGAAGTTAGAAAGTACCAATTTTCGTGTAGATTTCATTTCCAGCGAAAAGTGGAAACCAGAAAAGCGCAATACCGTATTCCAACCTAGATTTGATATAAAATGGCGAATTAAATTAATTTGATTTATTCAGTAATACCATCGCGGGCTTAATATGTAATAAATACTTCTCTCTTTTTACTTATCTTCGCTTGATTAAAGATCAGCAAAATATCCTATGACCTCAGATTATTTTGCATTCATTAATGTATTATAGACTTATTTACATTTTACTTAAAACTTAAAGCAATACCATTTTGCTTTCAGAGAGATGAAGAACGCTCACAGTTTGTTGCTGTTACAACCATAACGGATTCTCAGGCTATACGCAGCGTGGACTTTCACCCAGATGGAAATCTTTTTGCCGTTGGATCAAATTCTAAAACCTTTCGAATATGCCAATATCCGCAAATATCTAAACTGAGGTAACAATAACAACTGAAGTCAATTTCCAGATATAATTAAATAATTATTTCTCGACAAATAGACACGATCAACATTTTTATCCTCCATCTGTTTTATGCAAACGCACAAAGCATCATCGAGGATCGATATATTGTACGAGTTGGTCAGCAGATGGCGAACTGGTTGCGACTGGGTCGAATGACAAGACCATCAAGTATATGCGATTTAACAAGGATACGAATCAGCTGGTGGGTCAAGAGATTGAACTGAATATGCACGATGGAACTGTCCGAGATATGTGCTTCCTCGACAACTCATCAACCAAATCCCGATTACTCGCGAGCGGCGGCGCCGGTGATTGCAAGATTTACGTAACAGACTGTGTGACAAGTATGCCAATGCACGCTTTTGGAGGACATAGTGGACACATATCATCGCTGTACAGCTGGAATAATACGATGTTTGTATCGGGATCGCAGGTAATTAATCGATTTCGCCGCAGCTATGCAAGACCAGTCAAAGATATTTATCGTAACATTCGCAGGATCAAACGATACGTTTCTGGGACATACGAGTTAACGAAGCTGTCAGCTCCTTTGATCAGGAATATAAGCCTGGAGCGCTGCAGAAATCGCCAGTAACTGCAGTTTGCGTCGATCCGACTGGGCGACTGCTGGTTTCGGGACACGCGGATAGCGCATGCGTGCTATACGACATACGCGGCAATAGGCTAATACAACGATTTTATCCACATAGCGCGGAAATTAGGTAAAGTATATGTGAATGCTAAGATATAAGACATATA